ATGTAACGTCGCTCCGCTGCGTCAATATGACATCAGTGTTACCAAATTGGCCCACACTTTCTTGGCGTAGTTAAGGAAAGTTTTGGAAAAGGATCCTTACACATAATCAAATTTGCTATGCGGCTATATGCAATTCTATGAATCGCATATAGCCGCATAGCAAATATTTCCCGTTTCCGGGTAGGAAAAACCCATTAGTGTTCAGATTATTTTTATTGCAGAGAATATGATTATAAGATACTTCACAACATTGTGTGTATGTTACATAAACAAAACCTAAATATGTCAATGATAAAAATTTACATTACAAAGGTATTTAATCAAAGCATCCACAGTGAGAGCTTCCGCGATGTTCCCTCTGAAATAGTTGGGTGATGTCGGCAGCAAAAAGTTATTTACAACCATTATTAAATTTAGATAGACATAATATAGTAGGGAGAGCTGTGTTATAAATGACAGTTATTTTGTTCGCTGATGTCTATGGTACGACTATCAAAAATAAACATACAACTGGCATGAAAGATAAACAATACCCTCTTACGTAGGCAATTCAGTCTCATTAGAAACTTTTCCAGGCTGGAATTTGTTTCAATGGACTGTTTAAATCATAATGACCATCTCCTAAATGCTACTGTTGCGATAGGCGAAGAGATTTCAATGAAAAATAAAATTGATTATATATGACATCGCGACGCGCCGCGGCGCCACGGGCGGTCTGGCACAGATACAGGACGCCTTATGTTTGTCTCCATCTTCACATCTGTTCGTTAAACATCCGCGCATTTCAGTATTGGCCCAATCCTCCTTACTAGAGCAGTGAGTGGAGCTTCGTCGTAAACGCGCAGTATTTATTCTCCCATGCTATTCTCGCACTGTGCATGAGAACAAAATGTTTTTCGAAACAATGCTACGGAAGTTCGTCGTGTTGTTGTTCGATATCAAAGAAGTGTTCAGTGAATCTCTCATTAACGTCCTCTCAAAAGATAGAGTTGAGACGATTCTGTAATTTATCAGTGATCGCACTCGCTACTGAAAAAGTATTTTAACTGTGTGATAACTCCTTAGTTTAAGGTTAACCCAATATAAGATACAGCGCTGGTTACGCCGTATCTGTTGATGCAGTATTATATTTTGTTACTAAAAAGACTGTGAACGTATGGACTTTTAGAAACACTGTCGGATTAGTGAGTCAAAAAAAGTATTTTTAATAAAAGATTTTGAGTTTGTTCCGCTAATAATGTCCGGGTTAAAAAAATGTATCAGTCAATTGTCTATGTTTATGACCGGTAACCCAGTCAATTCATCGGAGTCTGCTTGGAGAGAAGAGTTCCAAAAGTGAGTCCTTTGATGTTTAATACAAGTTTTTTTTTCATAATTTGTTGTAATGAACCACAAAAAGATAAAAACCAATTACTATTTCTGACCCCTGGCATTTATATATCCCTACGATGATAATTCTTATGATATGTCATCACATGTTTGATAGCCCTTTTTCACAAAAAAAAGAACATTCATATGTCTACCTTCCTGCTTTTAACTTGTTATTAATTATGAATATACGAGTATCTTAGTACAAACAAATAATCACATTAGTGTTTTTAAGAAAAGTTCGTGAAACGGGGTGTGTCGTGTACGCACAAAACAAAAAGAAAAACACTTGGCCTTCCTATTATTTATGTATCCAAAATATTTGGCAACTAACCGTTTTAAAAGTTTTCTACTCAGGACTTCTTGGAAACGGTAATATTAAATTGCCAACTGAATGATTGGCATATAGCAATCTGCTGGCTAATTATTATGGATTTCAAAGAAGGTGTACTTATTCACAAAAAAGCAATGTTGATACAGCATCGTTACTAGAAGCTCTCTAAAGACATTGTTAGCTAGCGAGCTGGCTAGTTTTGTTGATAAAGAATGGGTAGCCGGTAATACTTATTCAGTTGTTTCAGTGTTATAACTTGCCTATTTGATTGAGACCCTAATGATACAAGATGCAATATGATTTTACTGACAATTCTTTATTTCGAAAACCGAGATGAATTCAAGAATTCGAGATCTTTATCCTTACTTTAACATATTTTTATTCATAGCATTCAATAATAAAAAACATAGTTATATATAATTATAGTATCTTGCAGTTTTATTCTAGAAACTAGATATACGTTATCCATATTAACTGCGTACATAGTAACCCCCTTATTAATAAACGAAATATAAGTTTGGACTAAATTTTTATTCATGGAATGAGCCACTGACCCAATACATTTCAGTCATTGCCCGGTTTGTATTGTCTTCATGCTTGTGTCATCATGACACTTGGGTAGTGCGCTTGTGTGACAAAGAAAGCGCTCTACTAACTAGTTTCGTAAATAGGGCGTGAAGTTAAGCAGTGTTTTGTCCCTAGCCATCGAATTATAAATGTCATTTGAGTTAGGTAAACAAACAAAACACTGCGCCACTTGTCCAAGCTCTAAGTTTATTAATAGTTAATTAAGTTCGTTTCTTAATAAGGTAGTAAATAAATGTCAATAAATGTGCAGCGCCATTTCAGAAACTAAGCTGGCAATATTGATTGTATCCAACAGTGCTATTCTGTAAAATTTTCACCGCGGATTTTTTTACAGAATAGCACAGCAGAAACCAAGTTAGACATTGAAATATTATGCTCATCTATGCCTATGAGCATTATATTTAGAAATATTTTTTCTAAGATAGGTCACACCGTTGTTGCCTTGCTACGTCGCATCCGATGTCATTCTGTGAGAGTAATTAATTTAAAAAGTATTTTAAAACAGATTATGACCCTTTGGTCTCTCTAGATTCTATCTCTAGATTTGACAACGACATTAAAGACCATTTTAGCCAGTTTACAATAATTTATTTATTTAGGTTACACCACTTCAATCTTGTTGTGTTTTTATTAGCTTAAGTAAATGACCATTAAACAACACTACAATTAACAACTACAACTTTTGAGCAAGTGACCATAAAAGAGATACGGAATGCCAAATGCTGTATTTTGAAATCTTACGATATTCAATGATATCCTCAACGATATTTAATATCGTTGGATATCCACGCCATTTTTATGTCTTGTGGTTTTCTTAAGTGTTGTTTTCGTAATTTTCCTACACGAAAATCAAAATAAGTCTATTTAGCCGGGCAAACGTACTTTGTATTTGCGCATTATTACAGCGCGATAGCGCCATACAAATAATTATTCAGTCCAGAGCTTAGCGAATGAAATAGAAAATCTTGTTTGCCATTCGCATGCCTTAACGCTACACATCACGATTGACACGGTAGAATATATACCTACCTACCAACTTATTTTTAATGGTCTAGGTATATGACGCTATAATTAAATTTTGCTCAATTAACTAGGGAAGGAAATGCGTAAAAACAATATTTCTATGTTTTTCAACTACTAAATGTTAACATGATTATATAATTGTTATACTTATTGAATTAGATAAAAGGGAAAAAGAAAGAAATTAAATTTGCTTTTCTTATAAATAATATGAAATAGTTTCTCACGTTGTCATGCTAGAAGTCTGCGTAAATTTATGAAAACGGGATGCACAGTCGTTGTATTAAATTTTCAAATGACAAGGGGACCTTTATCTGACAGCCAATGTCTTTTTGCACTCGATAAGACTAATGTTTCGCAATTGTCATCAACCAATTACCACGCATACGCATGCATTCCACGGTCGTATAAAAGAACTTATTATATGTATACAGCCAATGTATACCTATATCAGCATGCCCATATAATGTAAGGCTAAAATTTAAAATTGTTGCTCTGTTGATTGTACGTGCGGAATAAATTTGCCAAGAGCATCGCATGTCTGGATGTTGTCGTATTAACCAGTAGAGATTGAAAACAATCTAATTGACTTATTAACATTACACTTCAGTCCAGTTCATTTTTTTGTTCAATCACGTGGTATGGCGTTTCATGCGCATAAATTCATATATGCAGAATGAACAATGAAACAATCAAGCTTTATTAAGTAAATCTATATTATTTAATATGGAACGTTTTACAAAATAATATTCCGAAATCTGGATTTTTTCTTGCCAAATATATACTGGATATTTGTTTTTTTTATACATTTTGAAAACATTTTTTACAGCTCTGGTTGTTGAATATGTATTTCTAGCATCCATAATATTGCCGTTACATTAGAAAAAATTGAACATAAATTACTTACTGTGCAAAAAAAGAATAACTGAACCCATATGAAGAGAGATAAAATTATCTAATATATGAAAGCTTTTAGTTGATAAATCTAAATGTTAAGTGCGCACTATACGGTGTCCTCCATAGCCGATAAAATATCGTAAGTGCAGCTAAAACCTCCATAAAATATAAAAGCATCTACATCTACTCCCGTTTCGGTTACCGATGTTTATTTCATAAAAAGACATATCAAACATAGGTTGCATAGTTACATCCCATAAAATTTTATTTATTATTTTACGAATTATGTTACTCAGTTTTAGTAAAATGTTTTTTAATCTCGGTGTTTCGAATAATCACAAAAGAAACACAACACATTTCTGAGATTCTATTGATTTCACCAAGATGCGAGTTAAGTTAGTTATTAATTTCATATAATATGAGGCCATTGAATCTGTTTTCAATAAATGGTTTTGTTTCTATACTTTTTTAATAGCAGTTGGAAAAATTGGTTTTAAATACTATGAACAAACAAACACAGGTCCCATTGACGATGATAAATGTTATTGACACACAACCATCGCTCTGTTTGATGCGTGTAATTTGATTCTACTAAATTCTGTTTATGAAATGAAGTGTGACGTAAATTATTTTTTGCCTTAATATTTGTAACGAAAATTGTTTTGATTGACTTGATTTGTTTGTGTAAATTTACACAAAAAAGTTGATGTATTTTAGATAAAGATTCCACAACAATTTTAGACAGGTTTTTTGTCATTAATTAAACAATGATAAAGTTAAATATTTTTTCCAGATACCGTTCACCAAGATACGCAGCCAGACGCATTAGAAAGCGCGTCATCTTCAAGCACGGAGACTGCAACGTTGTGCAATGGAACGTGGCGAAACGCAGGCGCCGATACCTGCAGGACATCTTCACGACTCTCGTGGACGCGCAGTGGCGCTGGACGTTACTCGTGTTTGCCCTCTCCTTCATCCTATCCTGGCTCCTCTTCGCCCTCATCTGGTGGCTCATCATCTTCACCCATGGAGACCTAAGCCCCCCCGATAACCAAAATATCACTTTCATCCCCTGTCTCAACAATGTCAACACCTTCACCGGTTGCTTTCTTTTCTCCGTCGAAACACAACACACCATCGGCTACGGCTCCAGAACCCCCAGCGAGGAATGCCCCGAAGCCATTTTTGTTATGTGCATACAAAGCATTGTGGGTGTCTTTATTCAAGCTTTCATGGTAAGTTATGATTGTTTTGTTAAATTAAAAAAAACGTTTTATTACCATTTACTTTTTATCTCTAAACGAAACTTAAATCCAGAGAATAGCCATCGTAAAATAGATCTCGTAATGAATCTATTGACCATCTGTCAAAACACTAAAGCTTAAATGTTAACAGATTCTCGATTATCATCGAGAGTACAATTTCTATGTTTTACTTTTGTGTGCGAAATCATGAAAATAGAAATTGATATGAAAACTAACTTCGAAATTAATATTGTGATTTTGTATTAAAATACATTTGGCAACCAGCCAAACTTATTAACGTAACGAATGTATAGTCCAGCCAGATGCCCTCTTAAAAATAATGAGCACATATTAAGAGATACGCCATTTCACGATTTTATGTGAGATCAATCAATGATGGCATTGATTAAACATTTTCATTTCGTTTTTAGTGAGGTTTTATTGATATTTCGGTAGCCGCAAAATAACAAATGTCATAGTAGTCAGTCAAAATACCTATATCGAAACAGTATGCAAAAAGGTTACTCTAATTTTAGGTGGGAATCGTGTTTGCAAAGCTCTCTAGACCAAAAAAGCGCGCCCAGACCCTCTTGTACTCCCGTAATGCTGTGATATGCCTGCGAGATGGCCAGCTGTGCCTGATGTTCCGAGTTGGAGACATGAGGAAATCCCATATAGTCGAAGCCCATATTAGAGCACAATTGATTCGCCGCAAGGTATATAATTTCGACAAAAAGGAGACTGGTTAGTGATTGGGGATTTCTGTCGGCACGCTTCCTTACGTCTATTTAGAATTCGTACTGACACCACTCTCTGATTCCGAACTGGAAGGATGTCGAAATCTGAAAGTTAGCTTTCGACATCCCCTGTTTTGGATAAGCCAATCTCAATGCTCGTTTTTCTTGTCCATAGGTGGGTCTTATTTTCGCAAAGCTGGCTCGAGCCAAAAAGCGCAACACCACTCTCTTATTCTCAAGGAACGCGGTGATTTGTTTGAGGGACGGGGAATACTGTCTACTCTTCCGTGTTGGAGATATTCGCAAGTCGCATATCCTTGAGGCCCATGTTCGCGCCCAGCTTATTCGGAAAAAGGTAATCTTTGATCCGATTGCGCAAATTGGGCATAACTATTATTATTATGGTCCTGTGCGTTGTTGTATTATTTTGCATTTTAATATCTACGATTATGACCCATCTATGGACTCGATGTAGCTTACTCACATGCTTGCTTTGTTTGCTTACTTTCTAACACTTTCCTAATGCCAGGTCGTCTATTTACTTTTCTAATTTAGAAACAACTTGAAATTAACCAATATAAATTTTCTGACTGCCTTTCTTTCTTATGTATAACGCATGCATTGTAGAAGTGTACATTGTAGCAATTTTCAATGGATAATGTCATTGTTCCAGATTAATTAAGTTTCATTATGAAGTTTTTGCTATTGAAACTAGATAATAAATATTCATTGCTTTTTCTTCATAATAATAATATAACGAAAAAAAAGTGTGGAATGTAACAGTAAAATAATATATAAGGGGGTATATTTGTTTTTATTACATAGTGTAACTTAAATTCATCAATGATCAATAAGCAAACAAGTTTGTTTAAAGTGTGAGTTAACGTATGAAATAAAAAAAAAATTAGGTAAGTAAATTTACCTAAATTATTTTTAAATTTGTACTGCAATTCATGCTGATGCAAATTATTTACACAGCAATTGCATACAATTTTATTTACAATGATTCATTTGTAATTATATTATTGATAATATTTTGCAAATACAAGAGATCACGTGTATCTTTATGCGCAAGTCACATTTAATTTTATATTATCACGAGTTCTGGAACTGATCAAATCATATGGAACGGTGACTCAGTCCATTCTTTGTATTCGATCGATTGTTTACCTCACAGAATATGCATTACTAGAAGTTTTAAAAAGAAGTCTTTTTTCAGGCAGAAAACAGGCTCACTTGCAGCAAATTTGCTAGTCTCCATTCAACTAAAAATGATTCAACTCATACAAAAATGTCAGAACGTCAATATGAAATTGATATTATTGATGGGCAAAATCTTGTTTTAGATAAATCGAGATTTAGAATAATTGCTGCAAGCGGACCTACACTAAAGTCACACATATTGTAACTTTAGTCAATTGTGTTGTGAATATGTTTATTATGCACTTGACAGTTTTGCCTATTCTTTGAGTTGTGATCAATACGGTTAATTGTATTGTTTTAGTTTTTATTCAAAATCACTACTGTAAATAGTTTAGAAATTGTTCAATTATTTATTTCTTCCATCAGCGCAACTGGTTCTCTTAATACAAAGAATTTCGTATTCTAGTAGTAGTATTCTTTATACAAAGAATTTCGTATAAACAAATGTGTAAAAATAATAATGTTTAAAAAGCATTTATTACAATATTTTATTACTTGAAAGAATAAAGCAAGGTTGTAAACCTTTAAATGGAATACAAAATGCACTTGCCGTTTACCCTTTTTTCTGTATTCACTTGCGTGCCTAATCTTGCAATGGGGTCCTTCATAATCATTCCGGAACATTTAATTCTCCTTCTCTTGTAGAACGCTGCAAAAATAGAAAAGCTTGCAAGAACATTGAGTTGATGAATTCGAAATTTCAATCCTTTGATTTTCCAAACATCAGATTACGCGTGAGGGCGAATTGCTGCCGTTCTACCAACAAGAGCTGAAAGTGGGCGCCGACGGCGAGGAAGACCGCCTCATGTTCATCTGGCCCATGACTATCGTGCACAAGATCAACGAGAAGTCACCATTATACAACCTGTCCGCCTCTGACATGCTCCGTGAACGCTTTGAAATTGTTGTCATGTTGGGTAAGTTCTGATAAAGTTATCAGTGTGCCAATAAAATGACGGCGGAAGATAGTCTGTCCCTCTAGCACATCCTGTAGGGTATAATGTGCTAGAGAGACAGACTGTCTTATGTATCATCTTCTGTTAGTTAATTGGCGCGAGCATGACTAAATAGATTATTATAAAAACAGGTAGGAAAAAGCATATTTCAGATCATAGCAATCTACTAACCTATACCATACAGAAGATATTTTATTCTGCAACTTGCAAGAATGCGACTGAATTACGGGATGGGATAAGTGACAGTGGCTAAAGCCGTTCGTTTCTATGACGCATTGACTATCTTTGTTACTGGACTCTGGACTGGACTGTGGTGGTGAAATATGCATTTTGCTGAGTTTCATTTATAAAAGAAAACTACGAATAGATAGATTATTTATTTTATAAATGCCAACGGCAGCGACTTGCCTTCTACTCCAACGGCTGGGTCCGAATCCTGGTATCTAAATCTGTAGCAGTAGCAGCCCGATTATATTTTGTTCTCAAGTCATGGCTTATGCATGGCAATTACAAGCTCTGCTAAGTGTAAACCAAATAAATAATGTAGCTTGTCCAGAATTAGTATGAGGTAACGATACTTATACAAGATTAGAATATATAGAGTATACTAATTAACGTGTTATCCCCTGAACGACACCAGATTTGACAGGAGTAGGAACCTAAAATGTTGTTTTTATGTAAATAGCGATAAGTTATATGGTTTTATTAAAGTTCACTTCTAACTTTACGGAAAATATTACCGTATAATCGTTGCCATGACCATGATGCTAATAATAAACAGCAGTCAGTGTAAAACACAAGGAAACATAGAAAGGGAAAATTAAACCAGTGATTCATAAATTGAACTTTACGGCAAACCCGTACAATTCTATATGTTTTAGTATTTTGCAAACGTCGGCAAAATGCTGCTGCTGCGCGCGACTCGTTATGTCTTTTATTACGTGAATTGAACAGTAGCAATAAATTAGTTTTTGGAAACTATCATACAATTATCAATCAACTAAAGGTGTCCCAGACATGAACTAATACATACCTACATAAACATACAACAATGTATCTGTACCTAATTTAGTTGAAATAATCGCATTATTAGGTACTGAATTGCATATGGAAATAAATAATATGGGCAAAATTACACAGGAAACTTTGTTTTCTAATAAACACGTGACATGAAATCAAACCCTGGATATTGACGCCAAGCATCCGCGTGATATCTTAGCAGAGACCGCAGCTGCGAAGGTCGTCAGATATCATCAAATATTAGTACCTTGGCTAATAGCAAAAGAGGGTAAGAAAAGAGATATAATATTAACAGTGAAGTCATGTCTGATAACGTAGACGTTAGGTATCTACGATTCGGCCACGTGTCATTGGCACTTCCTTGACATCGGCTTGGTAGTTTGCCCTGAACTTGGCTCACCGAACGATCGACTTTAGTATGTATATATACGATATATTGTAATGGTTTCCAAAGCTAAATATAACGTTATTACCGCTGTTTTAGAGATATTAATGTTTCGGTTGAAGAGGGTTAATGGCCTTTTAGTTACTCAAATCAAGCATTTTCTCCGAGTTACATTTTGGAAAAAACATTCAAAATAGTTTAACCTCTAAGTATAAAATGTTTCAGTTTTTCGACCATAGCTATGAAAAAAAATAGTGTGCACGGACCACACATCTGAAGTGAAATTTCTTTTCTGTAAAACCTAACTTAACGCACATGGGAATTGAGCAGCGCACGCATCACTCATATATATGTATATATATTGTCGCTTGTGACGCTCGTAGCGCTTCAGGCTTCGCCGAGTTACCCTCCAACTTTCATGTTCTTCGGGAAGAGCTGCACAGTATAATAAATAATATAATAAATAAATAAATATACACACATCAAAAGTGTCTAGGGATCAACATATATTTTTGCAATAACTTTTCTCCTGATTGATATTAATTAAAATTTTCTTTAAGGATTCATCAAATAAAGTGTTTTCGTTTGTCACAGTAACGATAAACCAAGTCACCTTTGCATTAATAAAGAAATTTGCCATTTTCCTAATAAAGGGATTTTTGACATTTGAACCACTAACACAAAAGTTCGAAAAAAAGACTGAAATAACAGTTTTCTCTAAAATTTTATTGGGTAACTTAAACAATTAATAATCCGTATTTCTACCGCGAACACTAACAACACAAGAACATCGGTTTGGCATACTCAAAATGAGTTCATCCAAATCACGCTGTGGAATGGCCGCCCATGTTCGTTGCAACAACAAAAAAAGGTCTTCTTGCGACTGGATACCCTCCATATTCGGCAGAGCTCTTCTCTGTAGCATATCCCATGCATGCTCAATCGGGTTCAAGTCTGGCGACTGAGCAGGCCAGGGCAGGACATTGATGTTAGCTGCGGCGAGAGTCTGTCTTACAACTCTTGCGGTGTGCGGTCGTGCATTATCATGCATTAACTGAAATAAGGGACCGATTTGCACTTGTAGAGGAACGATGACGTCTGATACAATCGTCTCAGCATAAATTTGAGCGTTGAGGTTGCCTCTGATCCAAATCAACTCAGTTCTTCCGCCATACCATGATGGTTCCACCACTATAAGGATGGACTTCCTGGCAGGATTTTAATCGCTGTTGGCGTCCAGGGGTTCTCCAGTGTCGTATACGTCTTGTATCCGGTCTCATACCAAAACGAGACTCATCAGAAAAGCACACGAAACGCCATTGTTCTTCTGCCCAATTTCTGTGTTCAAGAGCCCATTGAAATCGAATCCTACGATTGTGCATTGCTATAGGTGGTACCCGTAGCGGTCTTCGGGAATGAAGGTTCACTTCATGCAAGCGGTTTCTGACTGTTTGGTCGCTAATTAAGTTCCCTGAAGAGTGATGAAGCCTCACGGCTAACATCATGGCGGTTATTGTTGGAGCTCTTCGAGTTAAGATTTGAATGTATCGGTCTTGTCTCCGTGTGGTGCAGCGATACCGTCCTCCATGGCGCTCAGCCACGGTACCAGTGCTTCGGTATCGTGTCCAAAGTCGACTGATAACACTCTGACTTGTATTCAGAGCTAAAGCCACAGTACGTTGCCGGGAACCAGCTTCTATCATTCCCACGGCTCTGAGCATTTCTTCCCTGCTTAAATGACGTCGCCGCTCCATAATAACGTTGGTTTTAATCAGTAGTAGGGAAACAGTAGCACTAATAATGTCTTCAATGCGTTGTATGTTTTTATAGGGAAAATATTGACAGCTGATTTTCATCTTTTACTCGAATTTGATTCACAGTTCCTGATTCAAATTATGAAATCCACCAAAAAGGATCCATATAAATTTATAAAATCATAAATTTATTACAAAGCCACATCTCAATCTCCAGAAATCCGCATAAAAATGCTTGATCCCTAGACACTTTTGATGTGTGTATATATATATTTTCAACGCTCACACTTATTAGCCTAGCCCCAAAGTAAGCACTATAAGGCTTGTGTTATGGGATACTAGGGTAGCGGATAGAATACATATACTGTACATATATAAGTATATTTTTATAGAAATACATATAAAACATCCATGACTGGAGAACAAATGCTCGTATTCATCTCACAAACATGTGCCCCATCTGGGATTTGAACCCAGGACCTCTCGAGCCGGCGACACCATGAAACCCGGCGTACAAACTACTCGGCCAAGGAAGTCGTCATATATTTAAAGTTGTGTGCTGGTCGTGACACATTTCCGTTTCATCTTTTCCATAGGATTTTTCCATTTACACGCGGTCCTAAAAGAAGTTTCACTTTAAAAATATTAAAAAGAATATCAGCATAAAAAGAGAAAGCCACCTGTTACTTAAGTATAAACTTTATAATTCACAACAATGAAATTCTCTTTTATAGATTAACGCACGATTAACAGTTACTGTGACTTTATAGGAATGTTAATTAAAAAGTTAACAACCTTAACATAATTGGATACAATACGTTACCTATGGATTTTACTGTTTCCTTTTCTTTTAACTGAGAATGAGTAGTTTTTACGATTTCATTCGGGGTTTTACCTACAAGTTAATTGGCATACAATATGTACGGTACAGTTAAGACTATTTGTCTTTCACAATCATGAATCAGCTTAGTTCTACATTATAACATTGAGTAGTCAAATTCGGAAAAGCATTGATATTGCATTTTTTTCATATACCATAAGATTGATCCAATAACTACCCGTGCATTATACATCATTATACATTATACATCTAAAAATATACAGCAGCCAAATGTATAATTTAAAATATGTAAAATTTTACCTTTCTGTCCAGACTTATAATAAATTCTGTATTATTAAAAGATACTTTGGTTTATTTTCAGAGGGTGTGATCGAGTCCACTGGTATGACGACGCAGGCCCGCAGCAGCTTCTTACCATCTGAGATACTCTGGGGTCACAGGTTCGAGACCATGGTCACGTTCAGAAAAGATACCGGTGAATACGAGGTAAGCTGAAAATAACTCTTGTAACTCAATATTCTTCTAAACATCATACTCCCAATAGCGTCCACGTCCACGGACGCGGCCAGAAGTAGCCATACGGAGCTTTTCTCTACGAACTCTACGTCAAAGTATATGCCCAGTTGGGCATATTGTATAACTAAGTATGAGTGTGCAAGATTTGGTTGTTTGAGGTATTATATCATTTTATATTTGTTAGTGTCATAGTTACAGTTATATATATATATGTTTTACTTATACAGAACAACTCATGTGTTAATATTTACCCACACTAAAGTTGCCAGGATGATTAGAATGGTAAAATATCGCTTTGTCTACTTCCGGGTCGCGTCCGTGTAGCTCTGTGCCTTTCAAGCTTTCGACAAATTTTCGTTTGTTATTCTCGCTTTAGATTCCGATATCATTTTAATTTCTTCCTCTTCAACTTCAAATAAGTATCAAACATTGTATATTGTCGAGCACAAGCGCGTTTCACGAATGTTCTAAAATTACTGAAGCTCTGTAAATGTCGCCTCACGTTGTAGTTGGAAAACAGGACGCGATGCGACGCTTTCACCCTGCGCCAGAGTTGAGCCTAAGATAGTCTTTATGTTATCGCGTTAAGTCTGTTAATCACCCGTTTCCAACTTAAATAAAAAGACAATCAGATATTAGTATACTGAATGACGTAGGTGCAATTGTTAGATATAAAAGTCGTCCACAATTTTGAATGATTGATTGTTTTGTACAGATTTATTGTGATAAGGAAAAACATTGGTATTCCTGTAATTATCACTGTAAAAAAAACTAGGTGTTTTGTCTTAGAGTCAACTAAAACAAACATAATCTGCATAATTCATAAGGAGTCGTGGCAAATATTACATAGGTCTACCTTTGTGTATCTAACACCTAGCTTATGATGCCATCAATGTTTCAATGAAGCAAAGATCAAATGCGACATTGTTTCTTTGAATCGAAAACCGGTTTTTAGTGTACTTTAGATAATAAATGCGGGCAAAAACCTCTTCTTGAAAATATATTAATTATTTTCCTCTTAGAAAAAGTCAAAATTATTAATGAATCAATATTTGAAATATTTTTTTTATTCTTTGTATTCTGTAGGTATTGTTTGGAAAATTTTGTGTTTTTATTTGTATGTATTATCTATTTACCTGCAATACTGAATACAAGGTCGTTGAGACTCGAATTATTATAAAAAAAAAAGTTTTATGTAAGATACAAAGTTCAAATCAAATAAAAATTAAATCAGCAACTTATTAGTAACTCATTTCAGCAATCTTTCTCTAGCAACATAGCTTCTGGAAATATTATTTATTATCTTGAATGTAATCAGCTTAATTTGCAATAATGATTATTATCAAAACCATGTCAAACCGTGATTGATAAATTATTATTGAAAAATAGTTAAAACTCCCAACAAATTATAAGAACAACATAGTTTTGCGTTTGAAGCGCATACGATGACTATAACAAGAAAAACTTCACACACAATGATTGAAGTTTTTGGACCAGAAGAACTAGAAAGGATTAATTTCAAACAAAAGATGACTAGTATTATTTAACTGTCAGCATTCTGTTTTATTTTATGTGTATTTGTTATTACTTTTGAAGGATACTCAAACTCCTTAGCAGCCGTTTACCACAGGGCTGTAGCTAGGGCCATACCAGGGATATTATGGGGCAATGTTCTACCCTAAAATACCATTCCTTTATGTTAGCAAAAATATTTTGATTTGGTTTACTAATTCTATGAAAATTCTGCTGATAGAAATCAGGCTACGGCCCTGGTTTAACACCCAGCAGACTATATTCTAGTTCTAGATCTTTAATTAAATGACTCTTCTGATTGTTCTAGTTATTTTAATGTCTATGTTCTCTTTAAAGGTTGATTACACAAGATTTAACAACACATATGAAGTGGACACGCCACTTTGTTCCGCCAAACAGCTCGACGAGCTGCGAGCTACAGTTTCAACATCCCAAAAATTAGGTAAGCACCTTGAACTCGGACATGTTCTGAATTTCTTTGGACGACGAACAGTTGTAGCAGTTGGCGTTTTGCCACTCCTAAATGATAACCGCTTGAGTTAGAATTAGTAACGGAAAAAAATCCCATAAAGTACGTAACGAGATTAAACGTAAAATCGGTAGCGACCACATTTTTTTAGAGTCAAGAAGATCTTTCCTCTGTGGAACTATTTGCCATTATCGCCAGATAGGACTTGCATTATTATATAAAACAACTCCAATCAATATACAATTCAATCTGGCATTCGAAAGAAATCTGTGTGCCAATTCTGATAAGGTAATAATAATAATGTTAATAATAATATTCTTTATTGTTATACACCATTGAAAACACACAAGTAAATTAAAACATGATAAATAGAACGTACACAATATAGGCGGCCTTATTGCTAGGCAGCAATCTCTTCCAGGCAACCCATAATAGAAAGATAAATAAATATGAAGGAGATAAGGAGGGGTGTTATAGAAAAACATAATGATATCAATGGCACGAAAAACAGATATATCTAAGGAAGAAAGGAGAGGATGAAGTAAAAATTTAACATAATTGTTGGGATAGGAAATAACTCGGAACTTGATCCCTAAAAGAGTTCAGAGTGCAAGCCTTTCGAATTGTTTCTGGCAATGAGTTCCATAGACGTACTGAATGCACAGATAAGGAATAGGAAAAGAAATCAGTAGAATGAATTGGAATTTCAAGAGATAGGTTAGGAGAAGATTGCGATGTGCGCTGTGAAGTAGAAGTGAGAAACGAGAAGCATTCTTTTAAGTAATCGTGTGTCATGATGTTTCAGGAGTTTTGATTTGTTACACAATCATCGTCACTAAAATACAAAATCACAAATGTATTTATTTACTCATTTTTTATCGTTATGTATATATCTATACATTTATTATTTTAGTAAAAATAACTGTATAATAATGTTATTGTTTAATGAATATTGAGACAGGATTTTTACATTAGCTTAGCAGAATCGACATCCTGCTTAATTGAGCAAATGTGTAATGATAAATAAATAAATATTATATATTTATTATCATTTGTAAATATTTAAAAACATCAAAACATTAAATATTAATTTACAAATTTTAATTGAGTTAACATGACAATTTGAAAGAATAAGAAGACAATTACCTGGGAGAAATTATTTATTTAATGTAATTTTATACATTTTTAAGAGATGCATACTTACTATCGATCGAACCTGCTGTGTTAGAATTTCGTATTCTGTTTTTCTCTAGTTCCCAGTTTTATTCTAACCTGGGCGGTAAAGTCACGTCACTTACCAAAATGAGATTTTTTCCGTTTCACTCCTAAGCGAAACTAATACCAAGTACTTATGTTTGATTAGTTTTAACACCGTCCACCATATCTACACAGTGTACACAACACAGTTAGTAGACGATGTTTCTTCTGATATAGTAATTCCAACATTGTGTCCACTGAGAAAATTTCCTAATTATTCTCTTAATTGTCACAAATATGACACATTTGTATATAAAAATAAATAAAATACTTTAATATCACAAAATGGCATTCAAAACTTATCCGTATCTAAGGGAAATTTTAGCTGAAACAATTCAATTCGGATTAGATTTTAGAAATAAAAATCCTATATATTTTAATGCTTTAAATGAAAATATATGAATTAATTTTATAATTCCCTTTCAGATAAAATCTTAGGCACCATACCAAAGACGTTCTCCAATGAGACGCTAGACCTCAGCTCCGTAGACTCGATGTCTCTCGACGAACACATCGAAATCAAAATACCAGAAGCAAGAGCGCGCGAGAATCGTCTGATGGCGCAAACGAATTTCGTTCAAAACGTTAACGAGAGACCAAGAAACACGAGTCAGACTCATTTAGCAGTGGAAAATGGTCTAGATATACCAAGGAATCATTTGCTCGTAGAAACCAGAAACCCTGAAATCAAAGTTGATAGCAAAGAACCCCATATGCATAGAAGTCACAGCCACGCCAGTATGAAGAAAGTGCACGGCATAGTTCCTAATGGAATCGCCCATCCAACTATCGCTCCTGAACAAAAAAAGAAAGATGAGCAAATCAAAATCAACAAGTAAGTACTTTGAAATACAAACCCAGATACGTGGTGATTTTGAAAGTCCCAAAATTTTTTTGGAAGATGAAAAAAACGCACATGAATCCTTTAGAATTTCATCATGGTCAATAAAAATTATGGATACAAAATATACATGATTACTTATTTAAAAAAATAATGATCTTAATACTTAAGGGTACAATTCTCTTTAAAAACACGTATTTTTCACAAAAATTATGTTCAAAATCACCATTCCTGTTTTCTTTAACATGATTATTGACAATACATATTCATTTCAGTCTATATAAAATATATACTCTTAAGAACATCAGTAAAGTAATTTAAACACTTATCCCATTATAAGAGAAAGAGAAACTATGTTTAGACTAGTTACGCAGTATTTTGTCTTTGTTTACTGAATTAAAAAAGTAATTGAAGAGGTGTGAACAAAACACTGCGTTAAATATAACTTAGTATGGATCCAAACAATATATTTTTGGTACTTTTAATTGAAGTTTTTTGTGCCAGAAAGGACACCCTTCGGTAAACAGAAGATGCGGCTTTTAAGTTAAAGTCTAATTGATTAAATACCACCTGAAGCAGTCTAGCTGCAAAAATCTTCAATTTAGAGATTTCAATTAAATAAGCAATATGGTTTTTGATTGCATATATGCCAGCAATTTAATTTACTAAAACTGTGTTTAGCTTACCTTATTTGAAGTTAAGCAGCTATAAAAAATTGGGTCTACCTTGTTTTGCACAACTTTTAATGACAAAATATTATTATGCGTATCAGCTGATGGCATCAACTTCATTTCGCAGATAATCATTCGGCATTCACTAATTTAGCAGACTTTCAAACGCAAAATTTTAAATGCCAGAATCATCCTTAGGCATAAATATAATATATTTAATATGCATAAATTCAATATCATTTGGCTGGCTTAATTTAGGTCACAACACTAACCTATCCTAACCCTCTATTATAAGAAATAAACATTATGCTTAGTGAAATTATGCAGTTTTTTTGCCAAAGGTAATTAAGCCAAATAAAATTCTGCGAGCTTAAAAGTATGTCATTATGAGTTCGTACATAAACATTCGCTCAATCAAAAATTACATAATTTTTGAAGAAGTTATGCCAAGTGCGTTATGCCAAATTCTGGAGCAACAAGATTATGCCAAATTTTAATAATTACCCGTCAAAAATAATCTGAATCTTCAGTATTCGAGTGTTAAGTTAACAACGAAAAGATAATAATAACTGTAAAATATTGCTAATCAAATATTATGTTGTTTATTATTAAATTCTGAACTGAGTTGAAAATCTTCCACCGAACCGTTATCTTGTGTGTTTACAAAAATACATTGTTTATCCCAAGAGATGATTAATGTGTACATACCTACTCAATATTTCATAATGAAAAGCCTCTATATTATTGTTTTCTAGGAATATTTTAGAGAAGCTCGTGATGCCGCTACTGAGTAAAGGGCCCCTTAAATTCCCGCACTTTTCTCCATTACACCATTTGGCATCAGGACGCTATAAGGCAATTGATAATGGTAATAACCCCACTAAAGCGTAGGAATGAAAATCATTTTATAAGGGATATTGTGTAACTAATTCAGTCTTCTTGGAATACTAAAAGAGTCTGGCCAATATCTGAAGAAGTTAACTTTACTGTGAAAATAAACTACGTTATTTATGTAGGTGATTTTGTCTACTATACTTACCTTAAATTTTGTCTGAAAAGCTCCTAAATTATATGTAATGTTTCGTTGGTTTTGACTCAAAAACTCAGGTTTCCTGTTTTTCGAAAAGGCCATTATATTATATAAGTACAATTAAAGCCGTGATAGTACCTAGTATGTACTGAAAAGAGGCAATTTTTTATTGTACCCAATCGTGACTCTTTACAAGTATAGTAATAAAGAAATATTTTCCTATAAATTTTAGTTAATCCATTAAAACATCTTCAGGAGAACAAGCTATAAGTATTTTGTAAAGAAAACTAAATGTGAAAATTTTCATTGTTTAAAGGTCTCCAAGCACCAATCATATAGCGGAGAAGAAGCAAGTAATACCCATTCTTGTGACGTCAGCGGACTCCGAACCCGCTTGACGAATACTGCGAGACCACAATCCTACAACTGACAAGCCAGAGAGGGAAAGCAAGATAACTGTACAGGGAGCTGAGAAGAACATCAATAATAACAATTTGCACGTCAGATTTTACATCAGTGAAAGCGTCGAAAATTTTAATGAGCTCGTTATGATATGACTTGTCCATTAAATGATATACTTACTTACACAAACGTTGATATTGAGAGCTTTTATCAAATTAACACGTGTTTGTGTGAACTAGAAAACATTGGAAGGGAGCGCCATCTAGTGACAAAGGCGCAAAATAACTGAAAATAATGCCATTGTGTAAACTTACGCGATTGAGTTTGAAATCTTCCATTCGAATAGTACAATTGGAGAGGTATTGTAAAATTTAAAGTAATGGTTTACGATTGAAATTACTATCAGCAAATGTACATATTGAAAATGACGGAAGTAAATTACAACGGATACACAATCAATAGAAGTTCATATATACAGATAAAAATGTAATTATTTTAATTAGTTTTTGCAATAAGCTTGAATATAATAGCTGCTTGCTGATCGTAAAGTCAATTGTTTGCGGGCATAAAAAAAATGTATATAAAAATACATTTGTAAAGTAACACAGACTGTTTCAGTAGGTACGTTAAATAAATTATAGTTAAGTGCTTCAAAACGCAGTTTCGTATACCAAATTGTTAATTAGGTCACGTTATTTATTCGTAAGTCTTAAAAAGACTCAAAATTGTCAAAATTAAGTAGTAATATTACCATATTTTTTAGATACGAATTATTTTTAAAACGCCTCCCTCATCGACTTAAAACGCACTTCCTTTTCCGACAATTTATTCTTTAAATACTATTTAGTACCACTACTTACCGATAGAGGGCAGGGACTACCCACAAATATACTTAAAAAAATATACCATCTTTTTCTTTGAATTATTGCTCTGTTCTAGATAGGGTTGTATTTAGTTTAATATATATTAAGCTATTTTAAAAATTGTGTTTACCTTTAATGAATGACGACAAACAGCTAATCTAAATAAATCCAAATGAGTACTTTTTCAGATAAAAAAATATCGTGCCGCTAAGTTTTAGTACTTTTTCTTCACTACGATTCTAGTTAAACTTCTTATAAATTTCCCTTATATAGGTACCCATAAATTACTTCTTGTATTCCTGTGACCACTGCATCTTGAAATGCATGTGATTCAAAATATATTTTATTTAACTATTTTTACACGAACAATAAAAATAAAAAAATAATGCGGCCTCTATTTAAATATTTGACTAGGCGTTGACGCCTGGTTAAATTTATGTGGTAGCAATTTGTTTTACTCATAAAAAAAGAAATAATTAACAACAATTCTACACAATAAGCGCTTTTAGACGATTTTTCCATTTAGTATGAATTTGGCACTGCTCAAATTAAGCCTGTTTTGCATTCAGTAATCGGTACATTTTTAGTTCCCCTACATAACTAGGTATAATTTATACGTCTAAGGGCACAAATATTTTTGCAATAATAAAATATTTAAACCTTCCCATTGAATTTAAATCCAGTTAATGAAGTTAAACAAATATTAAATTTAATACTTAGTTGGATTAAATCCATAAATATTGTTATAAATTATTGAAACTACATATTCAAAAAGTGTTACTTGCTTTACTTACTTAAGGCCTTGTAAATGTACTTAGTAGCTTATATCAAAAGTGCCTAATGTATACGGCGTGTTAAACTGTTATATTATACATCTTAGATACTACAGGGTATAACCATCCAATGCTTTACCTATATGTATTTTTTTAAATTTATATATATCTGCTTGGATGTACTTATCTTTCATTTTTTTGTGTTTTTGAGAATATGTTGTAATCATCAAGAATTTGACAATTATAGTGCTTCCATTTCTTTAAGAATCATAATATATCGGTGATAGAAATTACCTATACCCTTATGGTGCTTATATCTTACACTTATTCTACTTGTTATAAAACAACCGAATTGTATGTTAGCATGATTATATTTCACTATAAATATGTACAACAAAAGGATGTGATAACCTAAAAAATAAGTCAAAACAAAGTATTATTCGGCTTCCAATAAGAGATAGGCACTTTGTTAGGCTTAAGATTACTATATTTTTAAATAAATTGATACAAATATATTAAGTGTTAGTCTTTCTAATGCTTGTTATATTTACAAAATATTTTAATAGGAAAATATTTAATATTTCAAAACGAACATTTTCAGTCTGTGGAATAATAATGTTTTTTCAAATGTTGTTGTATTCTAAAGTCTTAAGTGTTCATTTTGCCAGGGGTCCTAAAAGCGGCGCGGGCGCTGCCATACAGAAGCTTTGCCTGATAGCTAGTACGATAATAAATATTATCAATTAGTATGAAACAAGTCTTTTATTGATACACCCTCAAATACACAACTAGATTTGACTTTACTGAGAAATAAAATTGTTAATTTACTTGTACCCTAAACTGTAGTTTTGCTACTCGTCAAGAGATGGCACTTTTTCACTTATCACCAAGAGTTTTTTTATAAATATATTCATTCATCAAAATATAATATAAAAAGCTTTTCACCCGTTTTCCAGGCGCTGTAAAACTATTAATTGGTGTCTATCATAACGCTTTAAAGATTTTTATCCAGCTCACAAGTACACAAATGTATAAGCATGAACTTAATCCGTAATTTTCTTGGAATTCCTCTTGTTTTCTTTGGCATCGTCCTCACTGGACGACGAGGAGTGCTCCGGGCCATTGAAATAGTCAGGCGGGTACTTCACCACCGCAGGTCTGGTACCAATGCTGGCCCTTCTGATGGCGTCTACCACCAGCCTGTCTGATAAACGAGCCAACGGAGAGCTCGTTGGTGATTCACTATTCACGGAGTCGCGAAGAATAATCGGAGAGTTGGGGCTGATGAATCCTGAAAAACCATCATGTTTGTTTTGAGGATGTTTCTTATCGTAAATAGAACTAGCTATCTGCCCCGAACTTGCACGGGTGATTTATTTCTAACGCGACAAAGAAAGCCTATTCTACTCAGGGATATATCAGCATTGTAAAGGTGAATGAATGGTCCAGTAATTTTTTTATTTTATTAATTACAAAATGCAAAAATTTCCTCTTTAACCCTTGGATTGGCAAACATATTTTTTGCTGAATTTGGTAATTCTATCGATTTAATCTTGTTCTACGGTCAGTTAAGGACTGTTAAAAAATAGTACAAAAAATCTATAAGCTTCAGTTTTCCGGAAAATTGATGTGCCACACATGGAACATTGCCAATTTTTCTTGATTTCTTTTGTACTAATGGATGTTCCTTAGGTGGTACATGGCTAAGTTAAGGGTAAGAGTGTGTATATAAAAAAAAGTGTTTTTTTAATCAAATTTAATCCTATAATAGACATAATGCTATACCTAACAAACAGTGGATACATTGATCCTAAAAAAATCAAAAACAAATATTTATTAATACTAAAAATATTGTAAGTACCTATTCAAAGTTTTGAATAGAAAGTTTGTACTTAAATCTATTTTTTAGTATGAAATGATAGAAAACAGTTTCTACGATCGCTTCCGGGAACAAAACAAAGCCTCATGTTGCATTTTATACAAAATACATTGGTTTTCTGTTGACAATGCCTACAACGACCTCGTTCATTTCTTATATCTGGAAAGTGTCCAATATCATCATATTTGATGGGACTCGAGGGCCTGGGAATCGTTGGTTTATTTACCTTACTTTCAATGGAAACCACGCGACTAACTGAAATACCAAGTTTCTTTAGTTTTTCATAAACTTCTCGCCTGAAATGCATTCAGAGACATGGTCTTTTTCTGCGTTTTCCGAAATTTCAGCCAGACATTGTTGAGGCATATCTCGACCAACTGGGCAAATATACCCATATACCATCTATTGGTTTTCAAACGAATTTTGTACAGAGAGATAAGCATGTCTGCCAGATCCACCCCTCCCATGTATTTATTATACTCTTTTACGATCATTGGACACTCTACATCAACTTTGGCTTTGTCTTCTTTGCAGTATCTTTTAATTTGACCGACGAGATCGGCACCCAAGTTTGAACTGATCAATGTGACTGGTTTGTTGTCATTCCATTTACAATAGACAATTTATTTCTGTTGCAAACTACTTGAGCATGTGAGCCTCTCCTTGTCTTCTTGAAGGTCTTTTCAACTGGCAGTACTTTCTCAGCACCTCTCATTCGGTCTGATCTAATTGTACCAAGTCCAGATGATCCATAATTTTTCTCCAAAATGTTAAAAAGCTCCGGCGATGTAAAATAGTTGCCACAAAAGACAAAAGATCGTTTCTTTTTAATTGATTGACATAGCGCAATCACAATCTTTGCACCAAATCCTAAACCCTCTTCTTCTTCTGTGAACATGTGGAATCGGCATGTATCTTCCCCTCCATATAAAAGGAAGTCTCTGATCAATCCATCTAGGCTAGCTCGTGCAAAATTCTTAAACCCCCTTTAAATATTTCATTTCCAAGTCTTTCCAGGGATGAATCAATAGAAGGAGCTGGAGAAGTATGGGGGTCGTCACATGAAGAATTATTTGCTATGGAAGAAGAAGAGCTAGATAGTGAAAAGTACGAGCGGTTAGGAAGGGAAGGGTGAATCTGATTCACCACTTCCCTCTGAACATGCATAAATATTTGGGACAAGTGAAAAAATCTTCGCAACACGTGACTGTTTTAACTGTAAAGAAGCGAGAGAAAAAAAATCAACCCATAACCAAAAAAGCAAGAAATGGTAAACAAAAAACACAAATAAGGAAGACTAAATTGAATTTAAATGTAACTGACGGCCTAACTTAATTAAGTCCGGCTTTTGGCAGAGTCCCATGCAAGGTACATGCTAGACGGTATTAAAATCCGTAGGCCATTGGCAGTGGCCCACCCCAAGAACATACAAAAAAATAATAAAATTCCTTTGCAGTTGGCAATGTACCATGCGTGGAACATCAACATAAAGAGGTTGTAAAAGTGATGAAAAACAAACAATAGCGATGAAATTAAAAATGGTGAGGTAATCTAGAGTTTTAGGAGCATGCTACTACAAAAGATTTTAGCCGCAAAGCATAAAAAAGTAATAATATAATTAACTTACCTTGAGCACTGAAGAAGCACGACGTCTTGACGCCATTGTAACTGTTAAACTGACAGTTATAGTGTTGACAGGTCGGGAAAATATTTTTTACCGAAAAAAGATTTATAGTAGTTTATAGTTTTTTGATTTTGAACTTATTTTCTAAATAATAAATTAGCTAGATTTTTTGCAAGGTAGTGTTCCGCGCAAGGCACAGTACCAATCGAAGGGTTAAAGTAGGTGTAATACCTTAGATAGAAATAGAGTTTTTCTAAAGCCAAAGAAATCTATTTCTTTGACTTTAGAAAAACTCTATATAGTCTACTATATATAGTACTATATATAGCGCTGTTTCTATATTCTTGTATAAATAATTAAAAATATCGATAATGCAGTTCGTACAAATAAAGACAATGTTATCCATCAATCGATAAATGATACGTCACTCATCACTCATAAACTCTATCAGATTTATATAAATACGTATATACCTTTAATATTGCATTGAGTATTTTGTAATAGTGCCTCTTTAAAAGATATGGTAAGCGATACTGTATGATAAGTATACACGTTTTTTTATAAATTAAATCCTTCATGAACAATAATTCAATTTCATTTATTTCCTCCTGATTCGCGCCCTACTGCTGCCTACTAGATTTATTTGTCAAATAAAATCAACAGCCAATGATGTTGGATGCAAGAAACAAAGGATATATACATTGGTGGTCACATAATTATAGATACCCCATAATTAACCACAAAAAACTTACTTATGGTAGTTTATAGTTTACATTAGCTAAAATTGGTATTTAATACAGTTTAATTGTTATTAAACCATACACGACTTTGTATTCTTACAATGTGGGACAAAAAATAGTTGTGTTCGTTAGTAGTTTAGACACTGCTCACTATGGGAACTATCTAATAAGCTGGCCAGCTAATTCAAGACACTCGATTTGCTTAGAAGAAATAGAAAAAAATATTGTTATTATTAAAATTATCTTTATTACGCAATATTCGATAGCACGACATTTGCCACAACAATCCACCGGAATTTGCTTCCAAGCTTCTCTAAAAGCTGTGTAAAGTTGATCGATGTTTGATGTCCGTTTTGTCGCCACTGTCTTCTTCACCTGGTACTACAAATTTTCTAAAGGGTTTAAATCAGGACTGTACCAATCCAAATTCAAGCGTCTAACATATTGTTTTCCGTCAGAATAAATCATAGTTATTTTTGTTCCATCAGAGAAAAGTATATGTTTCTATTCTCGTTCAGTCAAGTGTACATATTTTTTAGCAAATGTTAATCTTGACTTTTTCAAAAGTGGCACCTTCCGAGACTCTCTTCCGTACAAGTTTGCCTCAAATAGTCACCGTCTAATTGTTCTTGCAGACACACCCTTCGACTCTCCTACACCAAACAACTCCGAACGTATCAGTCCTGATCCCTTGAACGGATCTTTTTTTGCCAACAACACCATCTTAGTCTTCCCGCAGAGTAGTTTTTCTTGGTCTCGGTTTTCTTGGTACGTTTTCGGTCGTGTTGTACTTCTTGCAATGTTTTATAGCATTCATAACCATGTCCTTAGAATAGTTCAAGTGGTTTGCTTGATTGGTTATGACCAATCTTTATTATGAAAGTTGAAAATAATTTTCCTAGTCGACGAATCGCAACTCTTGTTTTTTCCCATATTGCTGGTTTAAAACGTATTAATTTAAATTAAAAATTAGGTTTTATATATAATATCGACGTTTCATGAAAATACGCGACAAAACAAAGAAAAACAGAATGCAGTGTTTTCTTTATTGTTTTAAATTCAGAACACAGCTTTTACTTTTTTAATTAGCTGGTCAGCTACAAGTACGTTAAAAAAGTTTGTGTTATGTTCCCATAGTGACCAGTGTCTAAACTGCTAACGAACACAACTATTTTTTGTCCCACATTGTAAGAATACAACGTCGTGTATGGTTTAATAACAATTAAACTAGATTAAATACCAATTTTAGCTAATTTTAGTACCATAAGTAAGATTTTTGTGGTCACTTAGGGAGTGTTTTTAATTATGTGACCACCACTGTATATATATATATATATATTTAAATATATATACAGTGTATATATATATATATATTACTTATTTATTTTTATATCTAAGTAAGACAGTTGAAAATTCAAACACCTCAAACACCTCGGGCCTAGATGTTTGTGGCAAGTAAGTAGGTGCTATATTTTTTAAATATTAATCCAAAACAAAGCCTGACCAGCTCTAAGGGTGCATATTAAAGGACCTGATATGCACCCTTAGAGCTGCGTACGGATAGCGCGTTCTAGGGTACACGTAGTCTACTCCACGAGTTGCTATGAGTAGGGATAGCGCGTTCCAGGGCCCTTTTTTTTGAGTGTGTATGCTTTTGGGCGCAAATGACCTTTACAGCGTCACCGGGTTTGGGGACGGCGAGATCCTAAGGGGACCTCTAGCCGAGAATTGGTGAGTGCCTATTTTAGGCGGATGGCATCTGCCCACGGGGGGAGTCTCCGTCTGGAGCCTCTAGACCACTCGAACCTGAGGGGGTCGGCTCAACTAGAGGGCGTCTCTGAGACTCGGACCTCGTAAGTAACACCCAGGTAAGTACCTGTACCTGGTATAGCGTGTCGTGTGTAGACCTGGTCTTCGCACTCTTATCCTACGGGTGCGGTATCTGCCTAGAGTTCAGCTAGTTTGCAAGTATGCTAGCTGTGTTGTGTTGGTATTTATGGCTTGTGTGAGTGGAGTAGAAGGCGCGTTGGCGCGGGTGATTTCGTCGTCGGGGTACTCTAAGACGTGCCTAGGCAGACGGAATCGGAGGGACCTACGAATGGAGGACGGAAGGGCGGTCGTGTGATAGCTAGAGGCTTGGACTACTAAGGCGTTCGGATGATGCGCGGCTTTATCGAAGTAACGTCTCGAGGCGTCCTTCATATACTTCGCGATGGAGTCTAAATGTTCCAGGGCCCGCGTAGTCAG